GTCAAGAAGCCCCGCCTTCAGAGTTTTATAATAAAAGTCCCGAGCTTCCGAAACAGAATTTATCAAGGATCTTGATTACATATCAATGTTTTTAATATCAAAAGGTAAATTTTATTCATATAAAGCAAATAAGACAAGCCTATTATCATCAGCATTTTCAAATAAATTACAACTATTACTGCACAACTTCAATACTGTAAGCATTTAAAGATGGAAGAATCTCAGTATACATAAATTTGGTTCTAGCATGTCCAGATGTCCAACTGAAACAGGACATGAAAAGGGTGTCACCTGAGCCAAAAAGACCAGAATGAATGGTACAAATATTTAATTCAATGCAAGGTAACCTCATCTTCTAAAAATGGGTGTAGTATATTAGGGATAAATTCTGATTGCTTAGTTTAAACCAGCAGTCACCAACCGGTGGTCCGTGGATTTATTGAACTAAATCAAGGATCCACAAACTACGGCCCCTGGGCCGGATACATGCAATGAATGTTTGTGTTGCTGCAGAAAGTCCCCTTCGGGTTTTTTTTATAGGGGTCAGAGGAGAAATTCCAACTTGGGGTCTGCTTCAGCCTCCTAGTGCGGGCTTTGGCCAAAGACTGGAGGGAAGTGCCTCTGGTAGCAAAGAGCTGGAGAGCCTTCTTCCAGTGGAACTGCATCATGGCCTGGAACAGCTGACCATCTCAGCCCGCTGAACCTCCAGGAGTCTGTATGTGGCCTTGCACTCCCGCAGGTCTTCCCTCTGCTTGGAAAGCCTATGCTCGTAGTCCTCAGTGAGATGCTTTGGCTGAGCCGCCTCGGTCAGATCCAATTTGAACTAAGCCAGATGTTTTGACAACTCTTTCTCGTGGTGGCTGCTTAGCTTCAACAAATGCTTCCTGGGACCCTAAGGAGCCCAGACAGGCAATAAGCAGCTAGGAGGGGAGGGGCGAGTAGAGGCTAGTGAGGCACCCCTTGACGTGAGTGACATTGAGTTGGCCATGCCCACCCAGTCACGTGACCACCCAGCCAAGCCCATGTAGCCTGTCATTAGGCAGATCATATTAGTGGTCCACGGGATTTAAAATTATGAATTTAGTGGTCCCTGCTGTCCGAAAGGTCTCGTTTAAATCATGATTTGCTTTAGCTCATGTTCTTCCAACATGTTTTGCATTTAATGTCACATTTATTTCAAAATCAAAAGTACAAATCAGAGGTGGGTTGCTGCTGGTTCGGCCCGGATAGACTGAAACGGTAGGAGCAGCAGTGGGAGGCTCTGCCCACCCACTCGGACACTTCTGTGCATGCGCAGAAGCATCGTGCACACGCCTGAACCAATAATAAAAAAATTGGCAACCTACTTCTGGTTCAAATCTATGTTTCACTAATTTTTCCACAGCAATTCAAATATAGTACAGTATCAGCTTCTAATTTTGACCTTGTTATTGTACTTGAAATTTAATTTAATATTTCTTTCATAGAATTTGACAAAGTAGAATAAATAAAAATTAGGTTTTTCCCTTAAATATTCTAGTTCAGCATTATGTGTTCAATGTAAAAACCGTCTAATTGTGTAACATTCAAGTTAACTGGTTAACAGTTGCAGTGCTAATTTTAATTGTCCACATATTCCTGATACTTTCAGATTTTGAAAATAAGGTATACATTTCTTAATATCTATAGTCTTATAAGTTGCTGTGTAAGGTATCTGGGAACTGGTCCCGCCCCTTTTGATTCCATGATAATTTATTCTCTACTTCTTTATTACATTTGCATAACTACCCATCTATTGTAGTGACTCTGGATCACTCACATGATAAACAAAACACATTAAAGCCACTAAAACCACAATTCAAATTAAAAAGTAGATAAAAATAAAAAAAATATGATGGCATATATTACAGATTAATGCTGTGCGGTATCAGGTAGAAATTTTAGTGAATGATCCAGAGACTTCATTTCTTATGAGCTAAAGAAACCAATAAAAATTGATCAGAGATTTGCTCTGATAAGGGGAACAAAATAGCTGCATTGTCTCTGTTTAAAAAAAAATTGGCATAAGAAAAAGCGATTTTTGACACAATACAGGTGCCATCTAAAAACAAACAGTGATCCTGATTTAATAACAGTTTAAATATAAATTTAATCTGGTGATATAACATTTACTAACCTCCTCCATTCTAGATTTTTTCGAGATGAATTCATCACCTTCATAGCCTTTTCTTTTTTTCCTATTAAAATCCCACATAAGAAAAATGTTAGAGGGCATGTTCCACTAGTAAATTTATTCAATCCCATTTTTATATTAAAAAGAATGCAATAATTAAATTACTCTGTAGAATAGAGGTCTCCAATCTTTCCAGTTTTGTGAACTGGCTAATAGGAGAGGGGATGGTTCCACACAAGTAATGGGCGCTTATGTGTACAGCTCCATCTATGCATCCCACCACTCTTGCAAATGTAGCTTCCCATATGAGCGTCCGCCACTCACACAAATGGAGCTGTGTGCATTTGCCTGCCACTTGCGTGGCCCAGGGGATCCCTGGTGTAGAAGATTTATTCAACACCAACTGATTCTAATACTAATCCTATCCTGCTCCAAGAGCCTGAAGACATGGCTCTGCCGATTGGCCTAGGGAACAAATAGTGCAGTTCTACATTGGAAGTGTGGATTGATGGCAGACTCCATCTCCTCATCACTTGCTCTGCCCTCCACCCATCTATCTTTTTGGTTCTCAGATTGATATATTATTCTCATTGTGTGCCTTTGTCATTGTTTATTTTATTATTCTATTATTTACTTCGTCTATTTACACTCCTTTCATTTTTCTTTTTATTATTGAAAGCCGCCTAAAGTCACCCCATGGCAAGATAGGCGGCAAATAAATGTAACAAATAAATATAACCATTCTTAGAGTAGTGGGTGATTGTGAGAGTCCATCTCTCCCAGAGATTAAGGACTCTGGAAAATCTAGAGGCCTTCTGCATGCAGGTGGCAATAAGAACTCAGAGTAACTCAAAAAGTACAGCAGGCTTGGGACATTTCCCTTCTGCAGTTAGGGCAGATTTAACACTATAAATCCCTTAAAACTATAAATTAAAATTTATCTCTGAGGTAAATGAAAAGTTTGTTAGACATATACTTTTGTATACCGGAATCAACTTCCATAAGATATATGTTTTTCATTGATAGACTGCCGAAAAATTAATGTAAAGAAGTCTGATGAAGTTGGAAAAATAATAAATTCAATAAACCAACCTTCAGATTAATATAAATATTATTTTGCAATTTCTTTCTACTACTTTTATGAAGCCTTCAGTAACAGAACACCTGAGGCTTTTGGTATCCAATTTAGCAAAAAAAGGGGAAGGGGGGGGGATAAGAATGAAGAGCCTCACCATTTCTGTCTTCCCTATCAACTGTTTGTTTCACTTTTTCCATCATGCAACCTACAAAAGACTACTTTTGAGAGTGTATAATCCACAGCAGAATAAAGATTACCTAAATTTAATCCAAGTGTTCTTTGAAAGTAAAGTTTTCCTATTTATATAAATGATTTGAACCTAGTAGAGGAATGTGGCATTACAAAATACCTACAACCCCAAGTAAGTTCTAATGTTGCTACATGAGGTAAACTATTGTTTTTATATAACATCTTTCATCTCTTTATCTACATTTATTGTATAACATAAACCTGTCCCTACTCAACTTTGCTGCAAGAAAGTTTTTGCTAAGCAACATTATAATCCACAAAATGACTTTCATCGTATTATACGTTCAAGCCCCAACTGAGGAATAAATACTGACAAACACCTGGAATAGCATCAATAGAGACAACTCTAGCCAGAAATTAGGCCATTAGAACAGAATAAATTTAACAAAACTTTAAACTGTTACTTACATATTTGAATTAAGAGCAAGTTCTGGACTGTGACATTTTTCTAGTTTCTGTTTTAATACAGCAACCTCTTCAGGATGTGGTAGCTCATATTTTTTTACCAGATTTTTCATGCCTACACAATTGCAATAAACACTTATCAAAATATTATAAAAATATGAACTTTTATGTTACTTACCAAAAACAGATCAGGAAATTCTAAGAAAACGAATGTGCTGGTTGAAAATTTTCTCACTCACAAAACAATTTGCATTCTAAATAATTTTGTATTTAGCCTACTTGCTCCTACAAAACTGATCAAAAGGCAATTACCTGGATTTTTTTGGAGGGGGTGTATTATTACAAAAGAATTGTAGGCAGGCTATATATGAACCAAATGAAGCTAAATCTGAAGGACTTTAGGTTATTGCAAACTTATCCAAATGGAACTGCTTCAGATGTCAACTAAGGAATTCTCTAATTACAAGATATATGTTAGAGCAGTGGTTCTCAACCTTCCCAATGCCGTGACCCTTTAATACAGTTCCTCATGTTGTGGTGACCCCCAAACATAAAATTGGTGTCTCAGTTCCTAAGACCATCGAAAATATGTGTTTTCCTATGGTCTTAGGTGACCCCTGTGAAAGGGTCATTCGACCCCCAAAGGGGTCCCGACCCACAGGTTGAGAACCACTGTGTTAGAGGATATTCAGATTAGGAATCAATTTTTTTCTCAGGACAGACTTTAGCTGAATGCATGCAGGGGAGGCCACCATGTGCCTAAGTAATTGGTTCTATTGTTTAAATGTTCAAAAGTATTAAAACTGTTTTAAAAAAAATACTTGGAACCTGCCTTCTTATAACTTAAGAATGTTATTTAAAGTGCCACATTTCAGGAAGATGGACTCTCTTTTCAAGAAACACTTCAATATCTGAAGAGTGCTATCAAATTCTTTTTTTCTCTGCGGCATACTGGATTCAAACAGAAACAAGATGCTTTGAAGCATTCAATACATTCACAAAATATTTGTCCATAAGACCTTAAAGATAACTCCATTATTTCCCTAGATTTCACAGCTGCCTCTATACTAATTCCCATGGAGACAGACACTGCTGACATGCCACATATGCACCCCTGCATAATTTGAAGCACATTTTTTATTTTGAAACACTATCCTATGTAGCTGGCAAAGTTGTTAGCGGAGGAAAAATATTTTTCTCTGGCATAAGATGGGTTAGACTGGCTTCTGATAGCTTGTTTGGTTAACCTGTGAACCTCATTCTGCCCCTTATTGTTCAAAACAAAATAAGCTTCTCACCATCTTGAGGTGGGTAACAAATGATCCCATTAAAACCAAAACTTTGCATTCCTCTCCAAATCTAGTCCTCATGCCATGCAGAGCAGTTACTGTTCATGGTCTCTTTCAGATTAGAAACAAATCTTTCATGGCTAAGAAGTGCTTCAGCTTCTTTTACGCATCCTTGGCTTAAATATCCTGTTCTTTTACCAATCAATCAATCTTTATTATGATCATAGACCAGCAAATAAAAGCATTAAAACAATAATAGCAAAACATAAAAAACAGACAAGCATAATAATATATTGTGATTAGTAGTGGATTAACATAGGCTGTTAAAGTTTGCCTAATTTTACATACAGCATAGCAGAATTTGGCGACATCCAAATAAATTACTTCATACCAATCTGATTAACAGTAGTTGCAAGTAAAAAAGATCAGTATTTCCCAGATATTTTAGTAGGTAAGGTGTAATAAATTGAATCTATGAGTCCTTATAGAAGGTGCAATATAGCAGGACATCATAGCTTCATAGTTACTCTGGTTTCTCTTCAGATCATACATATAAAACTTTCACACTTTTACCAAATTTAGCAATAGCACTTACACGTATATACCACTTCCTACAGCTTTACAGCCCTCTAAGCAGTTTACAAAATTGGCATATTACCCACAATAATCTGAGCTCCCATTTTACCAACATTTTACCAATGGAAGGATGGGTCAATCTTGAGCCAGTCAGGATCGAACTGTTGGCAGGCAGAAGAATTAGCCTGCAATACTGCACTCTAATTACTGCACCATCATGGCTTTATTTTAATTGACATACATTTATTTTTACCAATGTCAAAGTAGAGTGCAAATATACAGTTAGTTACACTAAAATTGTTATTTCATTGTTTTAGTTTTCCTGGAGTCTAATCATATAGTTAGCAATACAGTCACAGAGAAAATGTTAGAGCCATTTCTTTACACCGTTTATACCTCAATGGTTCAAAATATAAATCAACTGAAACAGAATCTAGTAAGTCTTAAAGAAAAAAAACATTGGATAGTTGTTGACATTTTAATATGTCTGGGACTACACCGTGCACAATATTAAAAGGAACTCTTTCTGGAATCAGGCAACATAACACTCAGTATCAAAACAGATAGAGCAAACCTGTTGTTAATGAGTCTGTGCCATAATTAATACTGCAGAAATCCATATCGCTACAAACATTATATAACAGGATATATCGTTGGTACTCTCTGAGCTTGGCTGTTTTCTTGCAGAAATTTACATTACCCAAACTAGGTAACATCCTCAGTGCTACACTATCATCATCAGCAACTAACACTGATGATACCTAATTAGGATAATGAAACATCTGCAAGTAAAAAACAACCAAACTCAGAGAGCACCAAAGACCCTTCAGAGCCAAGGTGGCGCAGTGGTTAAAAGCAGCACTGCAGGCTACTGCTAGATCAGCAGGTCAGCGGTTCAAATCTCACCGGCTCAGGGTTGACTCAGCCTTCCATCCTTCCGAGGTGGGTAAAATGAGGACCCAGATTGTTGGGGGCAATATGCTGACTCTCTGTAAACCGCTTAGAGAGACCTGAAAGGCCTATGAAGCGGTATATAAGTCTACTGCTATTGCTATTGCTATTGCTATTTCAACCCTGAGCTACAAATATTCTCCTTTATTGATAATTGGATATCCTATACTATGTTATCCTACATGCTGAAATGGGGAATACGAAAACTGGAAACAGACAAGATTGCAGATACAGTATTTTTCTTCTAAAATAATGGGTCCTTTTATTCAGTTAGAAATATCAAAAATAAACTTTTACAACTGTTAAAAGCTCTTCACCTTTTCCTTTCTGAAGCATCAACGATATTTTAAATAAATATGTAGGTACTGTTTCATTGTCAACATCAATACTTACATTTCATTCCGTCCAGCAACTGCGAAAGGGATGTTTTGTTCTCTTTGAGCATTAGGGTTCCTGACAAGTAACTATTAAAAAATTCACAAAATTAGCAAAAATAAACGAACGGCTAAAAAGAATTAAATTATAGATCATAAAAAAATGATCATATAGAACATTTCACAATAGGTAATGCCAGTTATTTTAACAGTATTTAAAATACAACTTATGCTCATGAAAGCAATTAAAAATAAATAAAAAATAAAGTAATTTGTGTTAGACTTTCTTGTATTTCCTGCTAAGGTACTCAAGTTTTCTCCTTTGTTTAAAACATTTAGATAGCTGTCTTATATCTAACACTGGGTAGATCCCAATCAAGAAGTCATATTAAAAGTATTAAAACCAAATGCATTAAAAACAAAAGCCTGGCGCTAAGTCAAGCTTCAGATATGCAATCACCACATCTTATCCCAGCACTTGGGAAGGAAGCCTGGTGCTTCAAAGAAGGTTAGGAAGGTAGAGGCCTGCCAAACTTCAGGCAGAAGAGAGTTCCATAGGACAGAAGCTGCCACAGAAAAGGCACTCTTCCTAGCTCACCTAGGGTGTCAATGTTTAAGGGAAGGGACTAGAAGCATACCCACCCTATCTAACCTGGTAGCATAGGCTGATGTCCTTAGGGAAAGGCAGATAACTTGGGGCTCTGCCATATAGGGCTTTAAAGGTGCCACTTTAAATTTCACAGAGGGGGAACCTGGAAGCCAGTGCAGCTCACACAATAGAGGTGTCACATTCTGGCACAATTGAAGCTTCTGAGTGGTCTTTAAGGGCAGCCCCATCTATAGCACATTGTAATAATTCAAATGGGAGGTACAATCTTCATAAGCAAAACAATAACATTCAGACACGAATAGCAGATATATACTCACCTATTTTGACAGGCTAAAGCAGTTTTAAAAGTTGTAAAAGTGTTCATTCCACAGAAAAATTCTACATACACCAGGATTAATTATTTACTGCTGCCAAACTCTTATATAAAGTTGTTCAGGTAATCAAATCAAATCCTGGAATTTGGAGTATATGTCTGACTGAATAGTTGTTGCAGCAGTTATTATTCATGCCTTTTTTATAGCCTATATTTTTCCTACAGAAACAGAGGGTGTTTATGTGATTGCTTAAATATTCAGAAACTGCCTACCTTTCCATATTAAATCCTGCCCTGGATGCACTTGATACCATAGCAGTGAGAGCTGTCTGAGAAGGTGTAAATAGAAGGCAGGCATCTGTCAAAGATACTCGATTAAGAAAATCATCTGCCGTCTTCCTCAGTGTCTCAGGATTTTCAAGCAACTGATAACGAGTCTAGAAAATAAGTAACAGACAATAATACTTTGGAATAATTTGTTGCTACAATTTCCTCCAAGCCTATATCCAAGACAAGTACCTTCAAATGAAAGGCAGATACTAACAGAATTTCCCTGTTTTCAAGCAATAGAATAAAACAAAATAAACTAAAAAGCTTATCTATTTTGTGGTCTTCCCCCATCCCCACTTCAGAATAATCATATATAACACCAAAGGTCTTCTACAGTACCTTGTCCTTCAAAATAAAAAAGCTCGTAGATTTTTAAGCTGATGATATATAATCCTTTACCAAGATTTGTCTTTAATGATAGTTAAGGGTAGCAAAAAAAACGGAACAATTTTTTCTATACCTCATTACTCATAACTCTGATGTTCATAAGAAATATAATTATATAGGTAATATCCTTATTTATAGAGGGATTAAGAATCCTCTCAAACACATATGAACATCAGCACAAACAACTCAACATTTCCAACCATCATTTTGGCATTCAGTTCTAAAAGCAATATTTTGTTACCATTTTCAAAAACTAAAGAAAGGGTTTTGAAAGATATGCAAAGAAAATCTAAGATATTAAAGATGGAGTTCCAAGTTAACATTGATATCCATGTTTCATAGTTTGGCCATTTTAAAATTAGCTTAAAAAGAGCTACTTCGTAATTATCACTGTAAAAGTTTAAGTATCTCTGTATTATTCATACCACAACATGTAATACAGTTATTGCAGTCAATGTTTAACTTGGTAAGCAAAAAGGGAAAAAAAGCTACCTTCAAATCAATCAATAGCCCTTCAAATGGTCTGTAAGGATTATGTACTATAAGGTGGAAGTTCAGCTGCTGAATAAGAAGTAATTCATATTCCAAGATCTGTTCCAATGTTTTCTCCTGTCCCGCTGGACTGTCACGGAGGTTACTAACAAATTGTGCACTTGATACATTAAATTCATCTACTTTACAAGCCAAGAATGCACACGTTAACCTTAAAAACAAAACAAACATTTTATTGTAACAAAAGTATATGTACTTGAGACAATATAAATAATTTCAAGACCAAAAAATGTTTTCCTGAGAAAAAGGCAGTTTTCACCTTGGAATATGAATATGAGCTCTATATATTTCTTGTCTCTTATTAGTTAAAATTTCAAAAATACATAAACATTATAAATTTTAAATGATATCAAGGCATAAATGGTTAAGAGTTACTCACATAATTATACGGGGATGATATTCCATTACTGAGTTATTGAGATAAAAACGTTTGAAATACATGCAGGCTGTTCCCTAAAAGAACAAAAAAGTTGGAAAGTTCATTCAAATTACTTGTTATAAACATAATAAATACAAGACACATTTTACAATGCCAATATAAAACTAAATAACATACTGCTCAGTTCTACACACATTATTCAGAAAAAATCAAATCAATAGTCACAAAGCGAATTTATGAAACAAAGGATGCAGTTTATTACTGTACCAATGAAAAGTGCATCTATTTTATGTATAAATTAGCCCACTAGAATAAAATAGCACGTTTGCTCCAATCCACTTGGAGATACTAAAACATTTTTCTATTTATTAAAGAGTGCACAAAACTGATACTAGAATTTCCTTGCCCCTAATTCTACCTTCTCCCCAATCAAAAATAGTACACTTCACAAATACAATAAATACAAGTCTACATGCCTATGATCTCAGATAGGTTTATACTCTTCACAACTGTAGTTTTTCCAGAATTATGAGACTTGTTTGATTGTCTCTACTACTGATTCCCAACATAGCTGAGATGTGATCTCCTATAGCAGAATTTAGCAGTATGGCAGGATAATTAGCTTTTCTATCAGTGTTACGATCTTCTGTGCATTCTGCTGCATGTCTGTTGCACAACTCTAGCAGAAGCTGTGACAATATTACAAATTGATTACAAATATTACAATATTACAAACTGATCTAACTGTTGCTCTGACATTTGATGTATAACCTTTTCTTTCTCTTCCCACTTAACAAAATAAGGTGGACCAGGGTATTCATGGGAATGAAGACATCAATTCCAGAGCAACTAACCTTAAGGCGGTACTAATTACTTGGAAAAGAAACTGTTCTGCATTTCTTTTCAGCATTTCAAATCAGCATTATTAATGCTAGTGTACAAAACTATTAACTAATGCTAATGTACAAAAGATTCTGCATATGGAAAAGAAAACTTTGCAAACCACATTAAATTTTGAAAAATGAAGAAATGGCAGATAAAAACTTATGAATAATAAGATTTAGCTATTTACATCCAACAAAGTTTCATTTCAAATAAGCACCAGCAAGACATTGGTTTCTTTAAACAGAAAAATTAAAACAGGTGTAAAAAATTCAACAACTTACCATAACAGATTTGGGCATTACTGGCTTAAATACAGAGCAAAAGTCTGCTAATCTTTTTTCATAATATTTACAAATTATCAGTTCTTCATGTTGGTCAAGAATAAAAGAGTCCGTCTGTTGAACCTTATGAAAGAATAATACATATCTTAAATAGAAATCACAATTCACTAACACAGACTATAGCTATTAAGTGGAACCACTTAAGGCATAAGCCTATACATGAGTCTTACTTACCTAGTACTGTTTACATGTGCAGGACTACCATTCCCATTATCCCCAGGCAGCTAAAGGAATTGAGTGTTATAAATCTACATATTTGCACAGAAGAACTTTGGCAAACCATAACAGAGAGGTCCTTGGTGTTCTCTGAGCTTGCTTGTTTTCTTGCAGATGTTTCATTATCAAACCAGGCAACATCAGTGCATCAATATTCTCTGTCAGTAACAGATTATAACTAGATAGATAGATAGATAGATAGATAGATAGATAGATAGATAGATAGATAGATAGATAGATAGATAGATATAGAGTGAGTTTATCCGCTTAATGGTCAAGGAAACTAAAATAATGCAATGATATAACACAATATCTCACTCCTGCCAAGAAAACTGTAACAAAACCTGTTAATGGGGACATGGTACACTATAATATCCATTTCTCTTACCCTTAACAGAAAACAGAATCTATGTAAGTATTTTCAAAACTTGGCAACTTTTAAGATCTGCGGACTTCAGTTCCGAGAGTTCCCCAGCCAGCATACTGAATTAGTGTTGGTACACACAGGTTGTCCTCATTGAATGACCACCCATTCAAAGTTACAGTACTGCTGAATGAATGGTACTTGTAACAGCTCCTCATAGTTAACCATTGCTGCACCCTCAGTGACATTATCATGATTCCAGTGCTTAGCAACTGGCTCCCAATTATAACAAGCATCATGTTCCAGATATGTGATGTCAGTTTCCAACAAGCAAAGGCAATGGGGAAGCCGGCAGGGTAGCAATCGCACGACAGTGGGATAAAGCAACAAATGCAGGATTCGCGTTGACTGGGATTGCCAACTGCCTCCATAAATCGGTGTGCTCACGTGACACCCACGAATTACGATCGCGTTGTGAAGTAATAGGGGTTCCCAGTCCCAACTAATGTCGGTAACCAAGGGCTACCTGTAGCATCCTGACAAATCCTAAAGCGGGCAATCCTAAAGACCCGAGGCAAATGTAACGGAAAGCCAGGCTCCTTGGCTCTTTTGCCCATCCCCTTACCTTCCCGTTGGCCACAACTTTGCATCTAAACTTGCGGTTGGCATCAGAGCGCCTGCGGGCTAACTCCTCCTCGCTGCGGAAAGTCCAGTAGCGCCTCTGCGTGCTGCTGTGGTACATCACAGCGACCGCCGACGCCGAGCTTCGCCCAACCGCCGACTTCCAGACGAACCGCACTCCTCAACCCCGGAAACGGCGAAACGCCCCGCCACGGGAATGGCCGCCTCCGGCCCCGCCCCCTCCCGCTGTCATCACAGTCGCCACCACTCCGCCCCCAAGTTCCCGGCGTGCTTTGCGCCAAAAAGCCAGGATTTCCCAGCAGGCCCCGAAATCTAAATTCGCGCGGCTTTCTCGCAGGGCCGTTCCGGGAGATAAGACAAGCAGACTCGTTTTATAAGCTCGCACTTCCGGAAAGCTGCGGATAACATTAGAGAAAGACTTAGACTTTCTGAAGGGCAACTTTCACGTACACTCAGAAAAAGGAAGCCTTAGATTTTGAGCAACGGCAAAATAAAAGATTTCGCGGGCTCGCACCGCCTACTCAATACCACATGAGCTATTTCAGTTTCCCGTCGCTTACCAGTCGAACCTGCTAATGAATCTTATTCGGTGCTCTGAAATTTTATATATGACTGAATAGAAATACAGGCGAGCCACATCAGAGCATGCGCCAATTTATATCGTGAGCATTTTTCTCAACTAGTGTGAATCTAACTTGGCGCATGCTCTGATGTGACTCGTCTGTATTTCTATTAAGTCAACTGGTAGCTCGAGAACTGCGAGCTAGTGCAGATATAGAGATAAAAAGCGAAGAGCTGTCGCACGCTGCGCGATTCAGAACTGGATTTCCGAGCTACAGCAAGAAAAAGGCTGCTCCGCTTTAGGGTTTTTTCCCCTGTCTGTAAATTGTTCCCAGATTCCTTGTTGTCGATTTGGCTCTCATGACGGTGGGCTTGTTTGTTTTTTGGGGGGTGTCAATTAGCAATTCGCATTTTGGAAACTCGAAGAAAAGGCACCACGATTAGATCCGATTCGACCCTTCCTGGTTGCATGAGATGGGAGTGTAGCCCAACAAGGATATGGGCAAACTGGGTCAACGGAGACTCTGCGTGGACGATCCGCCTAGCTTTGGCCTCCGACAATCCAGTAGTGTAGGATCTCGGCATTCCGTCCGATTTGGCTGGGACGGAAATTAAAACTGCAGACGTCCTTGCCCTGGAAGCCTCGGAAATGCCCGTCGGTACTGCAACACCATGTCAGTCCCCGGGCGCAGCCTGCAAGGGAATAATAAAACCATTCTTTCCGGTTGGAAAAGAGCGCAGCTCCGAACATCGGTTTGCCTGACCTGCCATCTTCCGAACAGGTTGAACTTCATTTCCCATAGTGCCCGAGGCCGGCCCAGGAATTATGGGAGTTGGAGTGCAACGGATCAGCTGGGTCTCCGAAAGGGGAAAAGGATTCCTCCTATTGGATGTGGCGCTGCGGAGAGAAAAGAGTTTCTCAATGAGAACCCAATTCGAAGCGGGTTTTTTCCTTCGTCTTTTCAACGTTGCGAGAAATTGGATCCTAGCTTTTCTGATGAACTCAATGCCTGGAGAGGCGGCTCCAAAAAGGATCTCACATCTCCAAAAAGCAGTTTCATAGTCCTTTTTTATAAAAGAAATACTATGCAGTTGAACTATCAGCTCTGTACTATCAAATTTAATAGTAGGTTCCCACCGGGTGGGTTACTCTGTTGTAGGTAGATCTTTGAACAATTTACCGGTATTACCGGCAGGAATCGTTTAATGCATGATTTAATCCTTCTGAAGCAAAATGTTGTGATGCCTTTAATGTCTTTTTCTATGCAGGCACAAAGGGTGACTTCATTAGAAGATGCCTCTGGCCGAACAGGCTTCGCTTACCGCCTTCATTAGAGCAGGATAACAGCCACCCACTCCACCATAGATCTCTGATAGGCAATTTGTGCTGATTTGACGGGGGAAAAAATCTTTATCAAGTCATCTTTGTATGCAGTTTTCAGAAGATGCACTCATGCTGATTCAGTCCCTGGAATAGCTGCAAAAAATGTAGATCTTTAGCCTTAAGTTATTCATTTTCTCCAAAACAAATGTTTAAAGGTAATGAAAGGCTTATTTATATCCATGCTATGGTTAGTTGTTCCACCTCCCTAACTGCCAAGAAATAATTTTGTTCAGTCTGAATTTTTAACTTTTGGCTTGGCTTCTATAAAGATATAATATATAACACTTTGCCAGTTAGGAGGGGATAAATAGAGATACATGAAAAAAGTTTAAATTGTCTGACAAAAATAGTTACAATAGATACCTAGTAATATTAATAGTATAATAGTTCTGCAATATAGTGACAATATTGACAAAAACTCCTGCTGTTCCACAATATAGAAATGATAGCACCACAATTGCATTAATGGTCAATACAAGTCAAAGGTGAAAAGTTGGGCTTTCAAGTTAGTCTAAGATGAATAATATTGATTGTATAAAGTAGGCCCAGATGGGAAAGCTCTGGATGTAATTAAGTAAACAAGTAGTCACTGGTTCTTCATGTTTATTTCAAATATATGGCATATCTTAGGTTGCAGATTCCTAATACAGAAGAAGTTATCCATGTGCTTTGTGTTTCTAGAAATACTAGATCAGCAAATTAATGTTGCTGATTTATTCAAATTGTTGCAAAAAGCAATAGTGATCTTGTTCAATGTTTTGAAAGCAGCAGTAGCAAAAATATTTTATAAAGTTTACCAAGCCATTAATGGTGGAAGGGGATAATGCAAATAAATAAAACCTCAGTACCTGTTTAATGGTACAGTTTTAATGGATGACTCAGAAAGATGCACCACTGAAAATTAAAACTGGAAACTGAAATGTGCTAGTTAATTATGAATGGCTCAATTGCCTGTTGTGCAAATTGTCCAGAGGCTAGAAAATTAGAAATGCAGTGTTAATTTTACAAGTATTGTAATCTCATTTTCATAACTAGCTGTAAAAGTTATTAATCAGTTGCTCTGGCCAGTCATGTGTAAACATTCTTAATCTATAAAGATGTTTTATTTTGCCATTAAGCATTACATGTCCTAGAATATTTGATCAGAATTATGAGAATGGTGGAACAGCAAAGCAAACTTGGAAGATAATGAAAATTATCCAAATACTTATCCCTTTAAGAATGTACTACCTAAGTTATTTCAAAATCTGCCAGAATTTTGCTGAGGTTTTATTTAAAAAATAAGAATGTACTTCCTTGTTTCTTATTTATTTCTTAAATAAGAATGTCTTGTTTCCCTTGCAGCAAGAGTATGGACCAGATGTAGAGAAGCTGAATGGCTCTCCAGAGACTACTGAATAACTTCTCCCATCAATTTGGCCATTGGCCTTGTGGTCTTTTATTAACAAAAGTTGAAATTCATGAATTGGCCAATTTAGTCATCCACCTTTTATAAATGTGTTTTTTTTAAATGTCACTGTAGACTTAAACAAATGCAATAAATTAACGATGATATCTAAGGCTCCAAAAAACAGCAGTGTATGGGAAAACTCAAAATGCCAAATTAATTCTTGGGAGTGATTAACTTTACCACTTTGAATGGAAAATATCAACTCACCTAATTATTTCAAATACTAAACCATAGTTTGAATGAAGCCCTTTCCATCTCTGAGAATTGGAATTATTATTCCAATTCTTCTGTGTAAAAAGTGGCCCCAGCATGGGCATAAAGATCAATGAGTGCACACATATGTGGAATTCCTGAACTAGCAACTAGTACATGTTTGAAACTTAATACATGTGTCAAAGACCTTTCTTGGTGCAAGGCAGAATGCTGATGTTTACTTTAGCTTCAGAGTGCATGCTTCATTAGTATGTTTTGATATTAATTATCTTTAAATTAAAGAGTCAGTTTAATGTAATGGTTACAAATGCAAGGCTAGGAATGAGAATTCTTACATCCTAGAGCAGGGGTGTCAAACTCACGACCCGTGGGCCAAATGCATCACATGCTGGGCCCGCCCCTGCCTGGTTTAGCAATGGGGGGGGGGGAATGATGACGCCATGACACGAGTTTGACATCCCTATCCCAGAGCCTTAGATTTCAGTTAGCCAAAACACTGGAGTGGGGGAAAGAATGACTTTGATGTAGGGTCAATGAAAAAAGAATTGAGTGGGGAATTCAAAATATGCTCTGTCTTCTGATTTTTCAAAGGCTGTGGTCCATTCATGTACAGTATACTTAATACCCACTGACCAGATCATCAAGGTGATCTTCAGAAGAGATTGGCAATGTTGCTTGCAGATTATTTTACTTCAACCGAGTATAGTAGCAGAGTCTGAAGTGGGAAGTAGTAAAAGGCTTAGGTTTTTATTCTGGCAGTCCTGCTCATGATTGCTGTGCTATGTCCCTGGTAGCACATAAGACTGGTTGCCATTGAAGGTGGTAGTGCCATAGGCATCTGCTCTTAGATACAATGATTTAACAGTGGGGACATCAAAATGCAAAGCCCACCTTTTCAAACTGTGTCCTACTATCATAGGACAAATACATAAATCACAGTATTTGAGTCAGGATATAATGACATATTTAATCACTAGCCATGTCCATTATGGGTGCCTGTGGGTGAAGTGATATTGTGGCTCTTCAGATTCCATTATTTATGGCTTCAGATTGTTTATTATTCCGTTAAAAACCATATTTAGTTCAGACTGTGTAGATATACACTATTTGTTTCCACTTCTGACAGTTAAGGGATAGGCAAGAAGCCCTACTGCTGTTAACTAAGGCTTGGGGGGTGGGGGAACACAAAAAGATACAAAAGAGGCCTCTGGTTCTTTCTACCATTCTGTTGGTTTCATTGCTAGTCATTTGAGTGCTGGGTTGGGGCTAAGGAGACCCAGTTCAAATCCCTTTGTCTCTATGATAACTAATCTTGGGACAGTCAGTCTTTGTCAAGCTAACATTGTGTGCAACAATTCTGAGAATTTGTTATCCCACCAGAAGTAAAGGTATTAAAAGATGTGATGTGGATTGAGATTCTTAGCATGCAGAACTGTGAACATCTCCTGTCAGATTCTGCATCATCCAAAAGTAAAATGGATAGATGTTGCTGTAATTATTCCTGTTAAAAAGACATGATTTAATGCTAAGCCAGTTTACTTTTTTTCCTGAGGCAAGAATAGTGCTTGGTCTTTTGAGTACCAAGACAAGGACCTCACTCCAAAAAGTAGTGGTTGGACCAGTCAAAAGCAAAGATTGATGTCAAATTATTTACATTTAAATGAACATTGCCCTCCAAATATACAGGAGTAGAAGCTTCAAGAATTTCCAACCAGCCTGTGCATTAAAAATGTTTCATTTCCAAATCCTGTGACATGCATGAGAGGATTTCCCTAATAAATACTAAGTATGACTCGACTGCCTGTTTTTCAGATTCACAATAAAGCACTAACATGAACCAGACCAGCTGCCTTACTGATAAGTGTTTTCCTTCTCCACTTGAAAAACAGGTCTGTTCTGGGATAAAAGAAAGAAATATTCTTCTCTTTTTTTTTCCTGTAGCCTTGATTACATTGAAATTCA